GCGCCAGGCGCGCCCCCCGGCCGCTGCCTCGTGCTGCCGTCCCCCGTCTCCGCGCTGAAGCCATTGGTCAGCGGCCCAAGCCTTGGGCCCTCCGGCTCCACCTTCATCCACCCGCTCACCGGCAAACCCTTGGACCCCAGCTCACCCCTGGCTCTGGCGCTGGCTGCCCGAGAGCGGGCCCTGGCCTCCCAGGCACCCTCCCGGTCCCCCACGCCTGTGCACAGCCCTGACACTGACCGACCTGGCCCCCTGTTTGTCGATGTGCAGGCCCGCGACTCAGAGCGAGGGGCTCTGGCCTCCCCAGCCTTCTCACCTCGGAGCCCCGCTTGGATACCGGTTCCTGCTCGGAGGGAGGCCGAGAAGGCCCCTAGGGAGGAGCGCAAGTCCCCTGAGGACAAGAAGTCCATGATCCTCAGTGTTTTGGACACGTCTCTGCAGCGGCCAGCCGGCCTCATTGTTGTGCACGCCACCAGCAACGGGCAGGAGCCCAGCAGGCTGGGAGCCGAAGAGGAGCGCCCGGGCACCCCCGAGCTGGCCCCGGCCCCCATGCAGTCCCCAGCTGCCACAGAACCCCTGCCCAGCCCGCGAGCCCCGCCCCCTGGCAGCACTCCTGCAGAGCCGGGGCCAGGACAAGGCAGCTCAGAGGAGGAGCCAGAGCTGGTTTTTGCTGTGAACCTGCCACCGGCCCAGCTGTCATCCAGTGATGAGGAGACCAGGGAGGAGCTCGCCCGCATTGGGCTGGTGCCACCCCCTGAAGAGTTTGCCAACGGGATCCTGCTGGCCACCCCACTCCCCGGCCCGGGCCCCTCGCCCACCACGGTGCCCAGCCCGGCCTCAGGGACGCCTAGCAGTGAGCCACCCCCTGCCCCTGAGTCTGCAGCCGATTCTGGGGTTGAGGAAGCGGACACTCGAAGCTCTAGTGACCCCCACCTGGAGACCACAAGCACTATCTCCACCGTGTCCAGCATGTCTACCCTGAGCTCGGAGAGCGGGGAGCTCACTGACACCCACACCTCCTTCGCCGACGGACACACTTTTCTACTCGAGAAGCCACCAGTGCCTCCCAAGCCCAAGCTCAAGTCCCCGCTGGGGAAGGGGCCGGTGACCTTCAGGGACCCGCTGCTGAAGCAGTCCTCGGACAGCGAGCTCATGGCCCAGCAGCACCACGCCGCCTCTGCCGGGCTGGCCTCTGCCGCCGGGCCTGCCCGCCCTCGCTACCTCTTCCAGAGAAGGTCCAAGCTGTGGGGGGACCCCGTGGAGAGCCGGGGGCTCCCTGGGCCCGAAGACGACAAGCCAACTGTGATCAGTGAGCTCAGCTCGCGCCTGCAGCAGCTGAACAAGGACACACGCTCCCTGGGGGAGGAGCCGGTCGGCGGCCTGGGTGGCCTGCTGGACCCTGCCAAGAAGTCGCCCATCGCAGCAGCTCGGTGAGCAGGGCAGTGTGGGGAGGGTCCCTCTCCATGTGGCCCCCCTCCGTCCCTCTTCCTGTCCTGTCCTCCCCTGCCCTGGCCATGCACGCCTTCACAGGATCTCACTTCCCTGTCTGAGGAGAGGCTCTACTGCACCTGAGACTGGGGTCCTGCTCCCCACCCGGGGCTCCCACTCCTGACCCGAGCTGACCACCTTTTAGGGCCCACTGGAGCTGTGTCTCTTTCTCCCTGCTCTTTGGCTTTTTTGTTGCCCATGTCCACCACTCCACTTCTGACCTCTTCATGGCCTGTGCTGTCTCCCGCAGCTAAGGCCATCTGTCTACTTCAGAGGAACCTCTTGCCTTGCCTCCTTCTGAGGCTTGGTGGACACTGGTTCCTTTTCTTTGGGGAATCTGCCACTCACTTTCCATCTTGTTTTCTGCTCCAGAAGCGTTGTCTTTACCACGTCAGAGCCTCAGACACAGCCCCCCTGTGTGGTTTGTGAAGTGGCTTAGCTAGAGGGAAGTCACACGTCTCCCTGAACCTCTGCCTGCCCACTCACCTTCTCCTCCCCCTTCCTTGCCCCTCTGTTTGTCCTCTCTGGCACCTGTTACCAAGGGTGGGGCTAGGGGGCAGTGCTGGCATGAGGGAGGGGCTGCAGGGGGCTGGGTACTGCCACAGCTGTGGCTGCTGTTTAGGCAGGAGCTGCAGAGCCCCTGGGTCTCACCTGGGGTCCTGTCCCCTAGGCGCCCTCCAGCCTGTGGGCTGCATGTTGATGGTCGTCCCCTGCCAGCCCTCGTGTTTGCCTTTGTCAAGCTGCTTTTGCCTTCTGTGGCCCAGGTCATCCCTGCCCCCTTCAGGGTTTGAGGGGAGGTGGGATTCTACCTCCTGACTTGTCCTTGCTGTCCTGAAGGCCACCCTGGCAGCCCCTTTACTGCCAGCACTGGAAGATAGTGCTCCAAAAGTCATGAGGGTTTCAGAGCTGAAGGACCTGGCGGGTCTTGCAGGGCCATTCTTCCTTCTTCCAGTCTGGCTTCAGAAGAGCAGTGGGAGCTCAGAAAGCACAGTGCCTCTTTAAAGTGGCCCAGGAGCACTGTGCCAGCTGCTGTTATCCTGGGGGCTCTGTCTGGGGCCCTCTCCCCGTTTAGCCTCTAATTCCCAGCCAAATTGGGAAGTCCCCTTCTCAGCAGCATGCTGTCGCCAGCACCCTTGGGGGGCACTGTGGGTGTGGGTGGTACGTATCGTCAGGATGAGCAGCTGGGCCCTGGCCTCTGAATGGGATCAGCGCCACAGCTGTGGCTGCTGTTTAGGCAGGAGCTGCAGAGCCCCTGGGTCTCACCTGGGGTCCTGTCCCCTAGGCGCCCTCCAGCCTGTGGGCTGCATGTTGCTGGTCGTCCCCTGCCAGCCCTCGTGTTTGCCTTTGTCAAGCTGCTTTTGCCTTCTGTGGCCCAGGTCATCCCTGCCCCCTTCAGGGTTTGAGGGGAGGTGGGATTCTACCTCCTGACTTGTCCTTGCTGTCCTGAAGGCCACCCTGGCAGCCCCTTTACTGCCAGCACTGGAAGATAGTGCTCCAAAAGTCATGAGGGTTTCAGAGCTGAAGGACCTGGCGGGTCTTGCAGGGCCATTCTTCCTTCTTCCAGTCTGGCTTCAGAAGAGCAGTGGGAGCTCAGAAAGCACAGTGCCTCTTTAAAGTGGCCCAGGAGCACTGTGCCAGCTGCTGTTATCCTGGGGGCTCTGTCTGGGGCCCTCTCCCCGTTTAGCCTCTAATTCCCAGCCAAATTGGGAAGTCCCCTTCTCAGCAGCATGCTGTCGCCAGCACCCTTGGGGGGCACTGTGGGTGTGGGTGGTACGTATCGTCAGGATGAGCAGCTGGGCCCTGGCCTCTGAATGGGATCAGCCCACTGAAGATGAAATCTCTTGCCCCAGCCTCGACTAGCCTTCTACCTTCCCTTCTGCTTCTCTGTACCAGCACCCCCGTTCCTCTCTGCCTCTTGTCTCTATGAAAACCAAAGCCAGCGAATGCACAGAGCACTGCCCAACCCAGCACAGGCCCTCAATAAATGTTTCTGATGTGGATGAAAGAACAAAGCCAATGGAAATGCTGTCTTTTGTGATTTGAGGTCCAGGGAGGTGGCTTAAGACAAACAGCACAGAAGGATGGACAGAGCAGTTCCTATTTATTGGTGTTGAGCCCTCTAACTGGGCTCAGGGGAGCCCAGGTCTTGTCATCGGATCTGTCTGTGCCCACAGGGTATTGGGGCGATCCCAGGGCAGCATCCAGGTGATTCTTCTGCCACAGCCTTCTGAGCTCGTCCTCCCACTGTGGGCTTCAGTATTTCGCCTGTCAGGGCCAGGCTCTCCTACCCTCTGGCTTCAGGTCCTCAGGTCTTGGGTTAGTTTTTCTTTCTCAGACACGGGGTAGGGCAGGATAAGACAAGCACCCCAACCTCTATCAGTCTCACAGGCCCTCAGGAAGGGAGCCTCCTGCAAGACTCCAGCCTCGGGTTGGCTTCACATGGGGCCCTTGCTTGTCCTTGACTGGCCACTGGGGTCAGGGAGTAGGGCTGTTGCTGGCCGGGCTAGCAAGCAGGTGATGAGAGTGAGGGGAGGGTGGCTCTCCCAAAGAAAGCCAGGTGCTATATGCAAAGGAACCGACGCTGGACATCCTAGAACAGATGTCCCTTGCGTGGTGGCCCTCACCGACCTCAGCAGCTCACTTCTTTGCCTGACATCAGCTTGGGGCTCTCATGGAGGGTCACTCAGCCCTGTAGTCAGAGAAGCCGCCCCACCTCTGTGAACCCCCACCCTCCCGTGTGAATGGGTGGCGTGTGGCACCGCTGGTACTGCGCGCCCGCACTGTGGGGCTTGTCTCACCCAGACACTCAGGCAGGCATCTAAACGGGTTGAGCGATGGCGCCCCCTGTGGGAAATGAGCATGCTGGAATAGCACTAGAGTCGCCGTCACAGTCTTTTGTCTTCAGGGTCGTTCTGTTAGGTGGGTCATGTCATCTCCATTTCTCAGACAATAAAACAGGTTTCAGAGATTGGCCCCAGCTAGTAAGTGGCTGTGTCTGTCTGACCCGCAGCCCTGCTCTGCCTGCTGTAATCTGAGACTATCTTTACTCTCCCTGCTGTTGGACACTGGGTTTGTGCTCAGCGAGCTCCTCCCGCAGCGCAGACACTGTTGGTTGGTGACATCTGACTGAGCACCGAGGGCCACCCGGCTGTCCCAGTGGTATCACACCCACTCCGCCCTGCTCTCCCTACCACCTGCCTCTGTGCGCCCCTCTGTCCCTGCTCATGGTACACCCTCTGCTCCTTTCCCTCCCACACGGCAGCAACTTTACTTCTGGCTGCAGACAGGAGGCCAAACACTGGTCACTCGTGGCCATGTGTGTGTGGCTGACCACAGCTCTGGGCCCCTGTTGGCTATGGTCTGCAGTCAGTGGTGACTGCAGCTGGGACTCACTTCTCCCTTAGGGATAAAAGTGTTAGTGACACTGTCGTGCTGAAGAGCAAGTGTGGGAAGTCCTGGCATGGGGGTGTGGTTGCTTCCTTCCTGGCCTGAGTATCTGCCACGGCCACCCTCAGGGTCACCCCTGAGCCGTGACCCCAGTCTCCCATATGTTCCCTCAGCATCACCACCAGGTCCATCCCTCTGCTCACCCCGCCTTCTCCGCAGATGGCTCAGTCCACGCGAGGGCTTCCTGAGCCACAGGGAGCTCTGTGGCCTGAGGGCTTCCTGGGCAAGTTAGCTGCCCTGTGCACCATGGAACCAAAGCCTGGTCACTGAGGGAAAGTGAGTAACTCACCACACTGGGACACCTTGGGTTTGAGAGTGGGCATGCTGCCCCTGGAAGGCCCAGGGCCCTTGGCTTTCTGGAACATTGATTCCAGATTGTCCGCTTGTGCTGGGCAGGTCTAGTCCTGATGGGCAGACCATTTGTCTTCTCAGAGGCCTCACACCTGTCTCTAGATCCCACACCGGTATCCAGGCCCTACTCCTATCTCTGTGTAGGCCCCACACCTGTCCCTGGACCTCACTCCTGTCTCCGGGCCCTACTATCTCTCTGTGGGCCTTACTCCTGTCCCCCTCCTGACTCTGGGCCCCCCATCTCTCTCCTACTCTTATCTCTCTCTGGGCCCACCTCCTATCTCTCTGTAGGCCCCCTTTCTGTCTCTGGGCCCTACTCTTATCTCTCTGGGCCCCCCTCCTATCTCTCTCTGGGCCCCCCTCCTATCTCTCTGTAGGCCCCCTTCTTATCTCCCTGTAGGCCCCCTTCCTGTCTCTGGGCCCTACTCCTATCTCTCTGTGGGCCCCACTCCTGTCTCTGGACCTCACTCTTGTCTCTGTGGGCTTATACCTGTCTCAGCCTCACACCTGTTGCTCTCTTTTGTCTCCCCCCTCTCCTGTCTCTGGGCCTCACATCTGTTGCTCTCTGGGCCACAGTCCTGTCTTTGGGCCTCACATTTGTCTCTAGGCCCCATTCCTGCCTTTCTCTGGGCCCCCCACCTGCCTCTAGGCCTCACACGTGTCTCAGCCCCTCTCCTGTCTCTGGACTCCACACCTATCTCTGTGGCCTATACCTGGTGCACTCTGGGCCCCACACCTGTCTGTGAGGCCCATGTGTGTCCGTGACTCTGTCCCCCAGACTCTGTGCTGGGATCTGCAGCCCACATTTGTCCTTAGGTCCAGAGCAGTGCTCACTTCTGCCTTGGCTCTCAGTCTTACACCTGTCTGAGCCTCACCTCTGGTTTCATAGAAAAGCTCACAGAGAAGTAGATTTGGGAACAGAGGGTCTTTACCGCACCACTTCTCAGTGGCAGTGTGGTCGATGGCATGGAGTGCTATGGCCTCCAGGCCTGTTAGGGTCACCAATCGGATTTCCCAAAAGACCCAGGTTCCTCAAGGTGGTTGTGTCAGGGATCTGGACAAAGCCCCGGTGCTTGGCTGGTCACATCTGCAGATGTTGCAAGGCCTGATCATCTGAAGCTCAAACCTTAAGTGTCATGTGCCCACCTGTGGGGCCACCACAGCAAGGATGTGCTCTGTCCCTGCAGGCCACCTGCATCTGGGGCCTGTGCAGTGTGCCTAGAAGCCCTGGACTCTGCTGGGGAAGTAGAAGGTGTCACAGAGGAGAGGGGGATGTCAGGGCGGGTGGTGTCAGTGAGACACCATCACCAGAGAGGGTGCACCCAGAAGCTTCAAGCCCACAACCAGTTCAGTACTCCTCTTGAGGGTCATTTTCCTTAATGGGGTTCCCAAATTGCAAAAGGCCACAGACCTAGGCCTGCCCCGTGTGAGGGTAATGCCAGAAGGCAGGGGCCAGTACTGGAGGTGGGGCTTTTCCTGTCCGTTGGTGCCAGCGGTCCACAGAGGTGGGCAAGCCTAGGAGTGACATGCACGGTGCTCGTATGATGGTACATGCCAGGACGCAGCAGAGGCACAGCTCTCCTTGGCCCCTTCTCCTTTGCCTCCGGGCATCTCTAGCAAGCTTCAAGAGTCGGTAGGAGTGGCTGTCTCTCCCCCACCCCAGCCCCATGGCACGTGGCCCCTAGTCTTTTACTCACTGGTCCCTGGCTCCCTGGGTACCACTGGAGCCAGCCTGCCCTCACCCTAGACCACCAGCTCACACCCTGCCAGGCAGAAGGGTTCCATTGCCACCCAGAAAGACATAGCTGGGCTCTCCTGGGGCCTCTGTCCTCACCGCTCAGCTGTGGTCCTGCATCAGTGTGCTTCTGTCACGCCTGATACTCCAGGTAAAGCTGACATCCCACCTCCATTGACACCTAAGGCTGGGGGTGGCGGCAGGTGTCCACCCAGGGTACCTGTCACAGAGGTGTGATTACCCCAGTCTCCCCAGCAGCCACTACCCATGGCCCCCACCCCCTTGGCATGTGCCCTGGGCCATCGCCCCCAACCTGATGGCCAGAAGCAGGGAGTTTCTTGTGGAGGTTGGTCTCTGAACCCACTTGAGGGACAGGCTGAGGAGGGACAGGGGCTGAGGAAGGACAGCAAATTGAAGGGGATGGAAGGTCGAGTGGGAGAGCCAGAACTCAGATTCCCAGAGACAGCTGGCCTGGCACAGTTGGCAGGTGAAGCAGCACTTGCTTTTCGGGGAGGGCGTTCTGTTCTGGAATACTTTGACAAAGGTGCTTAGGGCACCCAGAGGAAGTGGTGCTTCGCCCACCCTGGGTAGGATCAAGGATGTGGGATGGTAGCTGGTGAGAGGCTGGTCAGACCACAGGAAGAAGGTAAGGGGCTTGAGCCCCTCCAAGTACAAAGCGCCCACTGCGTACTTTCCAGGAACTTCAGAGACGTGTGGCCTGCGGGTCACAGGAGGGTCTAGGACACAGGCTGCATGCAGGCAGGTCAGAGCACTCAGAGCTGCCCAAGCCCCCTGCACCTGTAGACACCTTCATAGGTGCTTTCCCTCCCACAGTGGCCAGGCCTCCTGCCCCAGCTCCTTCCTCTGCAGGGTCCCTCACTGCCTGCCCTGGTGTGGCTACCTGTGGCTGGAGCTTGGCTTGCTAACTCCCCATTCTCTGCCCACCCGCATGCGGCTGCTTGGTGTAGCTGTGCTGCGCTCTTGAGCAGTGGCTGTGTGAGCCTGCGGTCCACGCCTCTCATTGCCCATGTGCCTGGCTGCCCGAGTCTCTGCTCTGAGTGGCTGTGTGGGGCACTGGTGACACTGACAGCCACCACCTCCCCCACCCCCTGCTCTCTAGTCACTGCAGGGGAAGGGTTGGGGCTGGTGCTTTGGGGATGGCATTCTCTGGAGCAGTCACCCAGGCAGGCCTCTGGCCATGGCCAGGCTGAGGAGGGACTAGAGGCCTGGGGTCCTGTCAGGTCAGGCCAGGAGCTGAGGGGCTGTTTGTCCCTGCGTGTGTGCACATGTGTGCTGCGTTCCCCCCCCCACACACACACCGCACTCCTCCCCTGCGAGCTGCCTGGGTCCTGCCTATGCTGCTTGCTTCTTCGGGCTGACATTGACTGCGTCCAACTGCTGGGTCCTATGTACCCTGGCTCAGTCTGTCCTTGAGACTGGCCCAGGCCCCTCTGGGTCTCCTCCCGAGACTAGTGGCCCGAGCCAGGAGTGCTAAAGTCCAGTCATCCATGAGGAGGCTGCCCCCGGCTGGCAGGGAGGGGCAGCCGCCCCTCTGCCAGAGACTAGGTGTCTTTCCTATAGTGGGCTGCTCTTGGAGGGGTGGGGGCCTGTCTTCTCCTAGTTCTAGGGTAGCCCTAGGACCCCACCTTTATTTCTTCCTCGACGGAGGACACCAGCCCAGTCTGCCCCTCTGCCTTCCCGGCCCTTGCCCTGCTCCCCACCCGCCTGCCTGTCCCCCGGCTTCGTGCGCCATCACCTGGCCCTGACCCCTCTCCCTCCGCAGGCTCTTCAGCAGCCTCGGCGAGCTGAGCTCCATCTCAGCGCAGCGCAGCCCCGGGGGCCCGGGCGGCGGGGCCTCCTACCCGGTG